CTTTACTAAGCATGCAGTTCTGATTGCCAATCGAAAGGGAGTTGGCAGCATTGATAGAAGTAGCAGATCAGTATCTTCAGACATAGATGAGCAGTTATTTCAGAAATTTAAAGGTTCTCATTCTCGGAAGGGAATTTCACCAGATGTCAATGGCACAAGTACAATACCTACATGGAAAACCTGGAGCCTTCAGAGGACAGGCAATCTTGTAATGCAGTTTGAGGGTAGTGCATCGTTAAGGCATCGTTAAGTGTGCTTTAGAACTCAAAAGAGTAATAGTTTCTTTTTGATTGCTCTATTGTATATAAAGTTTTCTATTGGTGCAGCTGCTGAAGTTGTTACAAAGGAAGGGACAAGTGTCAACCACAATAACTTCAACGATGATGTTTCTGTGAATAGGAAAGAAGTAGCTTGGAGTGTGAGCAAAATTGGTGAGAAGAACAATGACACTCATATTGATACTGAAGAAACATGCCAGAATCAGGTATATATTAATGTGAAGCACTTGGAAACTGAGCTTACTTTTGTACTTAATGTACTTCTATCTAGATCTAAAGGTTCTGTTTCATCTAAGATATCCATATTAGTATCATGTCTACTATTATGAATCCGCATCAATTTCGCATTATAAGTTTGCTTTGGTACCACCGCCGTCAGTTCTGGTAATTGTGCTCTCAATCTATGTGAGAATGTATTGTTCTTTGCATATACTGGTAGATATTTCTGACCATTCAGTATTTATTCAAGTTAAGTATGTGATGCATCCTTAAAATTCAACATGTGAAGATTTTTGAGGGGTTAATGCAGGTTTAGGTTCAGGAAACATTGCCTGTTTTCTTTCCAGTCCCTTAGAGTGAATAGGTAGCGGGAAGAGGGATCATAAGCATTGGAACCTTGGTGGTGATATAAACTTGTTTACTTGGGTTGTATTTCACAATTTGAACTTTCTCCTTAGTGAGGTTTCCACTTTCCACAGATTACTAGAAATGAGAGGACTGATTCACTATGAGAACTTCTGGTTACTTCCTTATTCAAGTTGATCTGTAGTCCTTTTAAGTAATTAGTGAAAAGTGATCGTTATGAATTTACTACCAGGTTTGACTCCAATATCATGTAGCATATTTGTAATTAGGACTGAAGGTATTGGCTATACAAGTTATTGCTTAATTATTCCTTGTGGTCATTGACCACTGTGCTAGAGATAGCGAACTAAGATAAGGGGGTGGGCCAAGGTATCTCAATCCTGAACTTACATTAATAGTCTTTGGAACCCTCTAAAATAAATGAGCACAGTAGCTGGAGTAATGGAAGAACATCTCATTTTAGTAATCAAGTTGCAATTTTTTTAACAAAATAATGTGATATTGTATACATAAAAGGCTTCCTTAATGTTTAACATGGTACACATGGATAAATACAAGAATATATATTGCACAAAATAACTAAATCCCGTAGGATTCAGTTGAATCAGCATATGCTTCAAACTGCCCCCTCCCCAACCAACCAATCCCACGATGACCTCCTAAGAAAAGTAAGAGAAGAGAATATGAACTTTGGAAAGAGAAGGGAACAAGAGACAATTCTAGACTATCCCGTGTACATTTTATGGACCATGACATTTTTGAATTGAAAAGAGCATATCCATGTGGCGTTGTTGAAATATTAATAGGTTTAGGGGCTTATTTGTAAGTTGTAGGGGCCTATATAAGCCCATGTTATCTCATGAATAAGATTAGGGTTTCTATTCTAATTTGGTATCAGAGCCTCCACAAAAAACCCTAACCCTAGCCGCCCCTCTCCTTCTCTCCCCAGGCCGCCCCCACTCCCCCACGATCAGCACCCCCTCTGTCTCCGCTGCCGCGCTGCAACCCACCCGCTGCGATCCCAACCGCCCAGAAATCCTTAAACCCCTCGGTCCAGACCCCCCTCAAGACCCTGCATCCCGGTAAACAGACACACCGCGTCGCAATCTCCTCTCTTCGCCACCAGCCTTTCCTCTTTGTGACGCAGATCCCCCCAACGCCGAATCCTTCCCTCGTTCCAGGACCCCCGAACCTCAGCCCTCCGATAAACAGGCCTCCCTTCTCTCTGTCGCCAGACCAGACCCCCCCTCTCTGTCCGAATCATCACAGACCCCCACTCCGCATCCCCCCCTGTCAGTCCTCTCCTCAGACCCCGACCCTCCCACCACCCCTGACAGAACCCTGCCATCACCGTGTCGAACCTCGAGTTTGACATGGATTCCCTCGACTCAGTCCTCGAACTGATGACAGGTAGAGTATATATCTCACATCGATGAGATATATAACTGTTTTTGGTTCTTGTTTCCTCTGAGAAACGAGAATTTGTTTGAGTTCCTACTCTTGTTGTGCAGCAGAGGTGCTGCCGAAATTTTCACTGCACACAACAAGGGTCGGAAGAGTAGGTGACCAGGTGTTGGGTCTGAAGCCTATTCGATGGAGGAGATCATCAAGAAGTTGAACCCCGCGGAGGTATCAACTTTGATGAAGCTAATGAAGTTGTCGGCTGGTGAGGGCGCGACAAAACCATCGAAGAAGTTGGAGCTTCCGACCATCGATCTGAAACTTGATGGGCCGAGTACTTACCTGAGCTGGTCGCGGCGGGTGAGATACACCCTTGCAGGGAGAAATCTGGAGGGTTATCTGACAGGAGAGGTGATAGAGCCGGAGGAGGACTCGGAGGGAAGAGATGAGTGGAAGGCCACTCATATGTTGGTATACATCTGGCTCCTTAACTCGTTGGTCCCGACGATCGCCGCCACGGTGGATGGCATTGAGAAGGTGAAGGACGTCTGGGAGAAGTTGAGGAGGACATATGATGGAGTGGGGAATAACCTGAGGGTATTCCAGATTAAAGGAGAGATCGATGCCACAGTCCAGGGAGAGAGGACTGTACAGGAATATGCTACAGAGCTGGAGCGCCTGTGGCTGGATTATGACCACTTTTCTCCTCGGGCTAGCTGCAAGGACCCGGGATGTAAAGAGCGAGAGGCCTTTCTCCAAGAGAGGACTATGGTGTTTCTGAAAGGATTGACATCAGAGTTCGCTCAGCGAATCGCATTGCTGCTAGCTCAGCCGAAGATTCCCACGCTTGAGGAGGCTGTCTCTGCTATGATCCAGGAGGAGACTCGCATTCGGCTGCAGGCGGGGACAGGTGGACTTCCTGTGGTGAAGTCAGCACTGGCAGCCTCTAACAACACTGGATCTAGGGGAGAGACCCGACAGTGTTACAACTGCGGTGCGGTAGGTCATCTAAGGCATGCTTGCACTAAGCCATCCAAGGAAGGAGATTCGGGTGGACGTGGACAGTTCGGAGGTCGTGGTCGTGGCCGTGGGGGTCGACGAGGTGGAAGAGGAGCAGGAAACCGGGCAAATCTGACGGTAGCAGAGGAAGAGGAAGCTGAGGTGGTCTTTACTGAGGAGGATCGTGCTCTCCTGGCGATACTAAAACAGCAAGTAGCAGGGGATGGAGATTTGAGGAATGGGACTGCGGAGGCATCTACTTCGTTCTTCGTCAGAGGCAACACTGCTACCTATGCTCATCCGAACAAAGGTACTGATGACATACATGCTCTTGCTTCTATGTCTCCCGACAGATCCATCAGCATGAATAGTTGACTCCGGTGCGTCTCGCCATGTGACAGGTAATGCTAGTGAGTTCTCATCATATACTCACTTAGCATCGCCTGATAGTATTCAAACAGCTGATGGTACATTTCAGCCGGTGGTTGGTAAGGGTACAGTTGATTGTACTGGTTCTGTAACTTTGTCCAATGTTTTGCATGCTCCTTCCTTTCCAGTCAATCTTTTGTCCATTAGTTCTATCATCCTCCAACTAAAATGCATTGTTTCTTTTGATATTCCCAAGGTGATTTTCCAGGAGAAGGGGACAGGGCGGAGACTTGGGACTGGCACATGGCGTAGTGGACTGTGGTATCTGGATCGTGAAGGGCTGGATTCAGCATTGGTGTCAGTCATAGAGGAAGCAGGAGTAGGATCTAAAATGAGTGCTGAAAATGAGTTAATGCTCCATCACCAGCGTTTGGGACACTCATCCTTTAGTGTTTTAGGTAGATTGTATCCTTCTTTATTTGAGAAAGCAAATAAACAGAAACTTGTGTGTGATGCATGTGAGTTTGGAAAGCTTACTAGAAGCTCTTATGTTAGTTCTGGTCATAGAAGTTCTCATGCATTTGACCTGGTACATTCAGATGTTTGGGGGCCTTGTTCCACAAGTTCTATGAATGGATACAAGTATTTTGTTACATTTATTGATTGCTTCTCTCGTGTTACTTGGTTATACCTGATAAAAAATAAGAGTGATGTGTTTGGGTGCTTCCAAAATTTTCATAGGACTGTCCAGACTCAATACGGAGCAGTGGTGAAAGTATTGAGGTCAGATAATGGGACAGAATATACCAACAGAGCCTTTGAGGAATATTTGTCAGCTCAAGGAATACATCACCAGACAACCTGTCCATATACACCAACTAGATGTGAAGAACGCATTTCTTCATGGGGATCTAGTGGAGGAGGTATACATGGAGATACCACCAGGATTTGGTACAGATCAGACAGTGGGAAAGGTCTGCAGATTAAAGAAGTCTGTCTATGGGCTGAAACAGTCTCCTCGTGCTTGGTTTGACAGATTCAGAAGGGCTATGATTGGTATGGGGTACCAACAGATCAACGCCGACCATACCGTGTTCTTTCGACGGAGTGAAGACCACATTACCATGATTGCGGTATATGTGGATGATATGATTATTACAGGGGATGATGAGAAGGAGATTGCCCAACTCAAAATGAGACTGGGTAAGGAATTTGAGGTGAAAGATCTTGGCTTGCTTAGATACTTTCTTGGAATAGAGATAGCTCGAGGAGCGGAGGGGATCGTCCTATCCCAGAGAAAGTATGCATTGGATCTTCTCAAAGAGACAGGGATGTTAGGGTGCAAACCTGCAACTACACCGATCGATCAGAAGTTCAAGCTGGGTGCTGAGGCTGGAGAACCAGTTGATCGTGACAGATATCAGAGGTTGGTGGGAAGGCTGATCTATTTGAGTCACACACGTCCTGATATCTCTTTTGCAGTGAGCATGGTGAGTCGCTACATGCACGATCCGAGGAAGGGTCATATGGACGCTGTGTACCAGATTTTGAGATATTTAAAGAGTGCCCCCGGAAAGGGGCTGATATTCAGAAAGAATGGACATGTGAACATCGAGGGTTATTGTGACTCTGATTGGGCTAGCTGTGCTGATGACAGGAGATCCACCTCAGGATATTGTATCTTTGTAGGAGGCAACTTGGTCTCGTGGAAGAGCAAGAAGCAATCGGTGGTAGCGAGATCAACAGCTGAAGCAGAGTATAGAGCCATGGCCTTAGGAGTTGCAGAGTTGTTGTGGTTAAAGAGTATGTTGGTGGAGCTGGAGCTGGATCAAGGAGCTAAGATAAAGTTATGGTGTGACAACAAGTCAGCTATCAGTATTGCCAACAACCCAGTGCAGCATGATAGAACCAAACACATCGAGATCGATAGGTTCTTCATCAAAGAGAAGTTGGATAGTGGACTACTGGAGCTAAGTCATGTTTCGACTAAGGACCAGGCAGCAGATTGTCTGACTAAAGGACTTAGCTCAGTAGATATGATTAGAGGATGTGACAAGATGGGCTTAGTGGATATCTTTCGCCCATCTTGAGGAGGAGTGTTGAAATATTAATAGGTTTAGGGGCTTATTTGTAAGTTGTAGGGGCCTATATAAGCCCATGTTATCTCATGAATAAGATTAGGGTTTCTATTCTAATTGCGTAATAATGGTTTTGGTATATTTTATTTTCCTATAACTCCCTCATGAGATGTGTTGTATTGCATTACTCTACCACCATTTTTTTGTATCAAATGGATTTAGTACTTCCAAGAAGCTTCTTTCTTTTTTAATGATTGATCATCCAGGTCCAACGAAACTCACTGGGAGAGCAGTATATGCTTTCTGATAAGTTGGAATTCATGCAGACAGAAATAATGAATGTGAAAAATAAACTGCGGTCTATACGGGCTAAATTGGCTATACAACGAGGCAAGAAGACACATGCAATAATGTATACGCTTAATTTTCAAATTTTGAATCTTATTGCACTCACATCTTAACATTATTTTCCTGATTCTTTTTCCCTTTTATTTGTTTCGTTCGGTAGTAAAGCGGAGAACACGGACATGGCAAAGAAGAAGCTTGATGCTTCTGTAAAAGCTTTGCATATTCTTCGATCTACGTGCATAGTCTGGTCTACATCTGCTTCAGAAGTTCTTTTGGCTGGGTCTTTCGATGGTTGGACTAATCAGGTTACTTATTCTTGTCGTGTTCACTCTTAAAGCATTTGTTTCTTCGAGATTGAACATATTTTTATTTATTGGCTTTTGTAAATAGTTTGTTAGTGTTAGGGGTACCTAATTGTGTTCTTATGCATGATAACAAGAATGCACTAAGTCGCTACTCGCTAGTTACTAATATATTTTTCTTTAAGGTGCTGACTGGACAGAGGAATAATGACATTTCTATTGTTCCTTTAAATCATTCATGCAATTGTGGCTTGACTGATTTAATGCATTTTTAGGTTATCAATTCTAGAAAATATTCAGTAGGTAATCGGGAAACTGTTCCCAATATGACTGATTGGCATATTTTGTTCTGTCAGGTGGTGTACGTGAATATAAATATATATCTACAAAATATATATCATCTGACTTCATAATTCATATAGTAACTATCATGTTGTATAAGAATTGAAGTGTTTCTTTTTCGGTTGCGTGAGTTTGATCTGGATTTATCATAAATGTATGTATACCAATCCACGTATGGGTTTTAGGAAGTAAAGGGCCATAGTAGCTTATTTAAAAGAATTGCTACAACTTATATAAGATTGATGTCAGCTTGACAACCTGTCATAAGATATTGGTCCATCATGTTTGGTGCTTCTTTACTGTGAACCATGCCTGGTCTCATTTTAATGGGGAAAGACTTAGATGATGGTTTAGGTATTAGATGGATTTATAATTGATAACAGGAGAGAACACGATGAACTTATTTTCAACTCTGATAGACAAACAGAAGAAGATACCAGGAGGAATTCTTTGAGCTTAGTGAAGCACCTGGACATTTAAGTGGCTTTTTATGTTAAAGGCTTACAACTTCTTGCTTTCCTTTTGCTAACAGCTCATATTAGCCTGATCTAATACTGAATTATCCTGTAATGATTTGAAGCGGGTCCGAAGAAAAGGATAAAACTTAAACACTTGCAATAACTAAAAGGGATGGCAACTGGAAGGATGCTATTGATTTTAGAGCTGTTAGCAGAATTTTAGCAAATACATTTGTTTTCTTAGTAATTGAAATCAGAAACTAGAAGGAGAAATGTTCATCTCTCATTTAGATATTGGAAATCAGAGTGTTTGAGATGTTAGCTGTAGCTAGATCTTGGAAATGAGGGAGGAATTGTTATAGTTTGCTGTGTGCAGAGCAAAACGATACTTGTGCATTAACCAGAGCAATAAGATTGTACCTTTAGATTTGAAGCACTAAGGACTGAGGAGAGACTTAAACAAATATGAGTGTGATCCAAATAGAGAGATATTTTAGTTCTTAATCTAACAGTGAATTGACAATTAGAAAGTTGAATCGAGAAACATGATTCATGTAGTCTACCCAAAGATTTGGGTTAGAGACTTAGCTTGTTGTCATCATTGTTTGATTTCAGATG